TTGTCACCCATTACTATATCCTGTCCGACCACATTCAAAAAACCGACCAGCCCTTCCTGGAAGAGCAACCGCCCGATGTCGCTTGGAGGGTGTTTGTTGCTCAGGTCACCGGGCTAGTAGCAAAAGAGTCAAAAAGCATGGTCTTTCGCTGGAAGAATTAAAACTCGTAGCTGAGGAGCCGTACTAGCAAATTCCTAACCGCTAGGATTCAGCTTGTGGCCCTTACATATTCTGTCCAAGTAACCTGACCTGAGATGTTTGCTCAACTCAACGAAACCACTGCGCCACGTTGATCCGCGATGACAAACTCCAACAGCAACAGAACACGGGGTAGAAAGTTTGTAAAAATTCCAACTTGATATATTGACACGTCAACAATCTCTGGAGGGCGCAGCCATGGATCCCAGTTCCACTTGCAACAAGAGGTCTGGCGCGAACTACACAAGCGACGGCCAACATGCTTCGCCAACACTAGATTCACACTCTTCAGAGTGACTCATCAGCACAACCACTGTTGACACAGCTCCCATTGCCACCAAGATTAAACCACGTATTGTTTACAGCAGCCAAGGTGATGAAACGTCTAATGCCATTGCGCGTGCACTGCTCTTTAGGCGTGGACGACATCAAACCGATGGCATTAAATCCAGCGGCTTTGAACCTTGCCGAAACAGTAGCTCGGATTTTTTAAATTTGTCTCGATGAAATGCTGGCTCTTACAATGTGGAAACGTAGGGCAGTCACACTAATTTACAAAATCGATATCGTACGGAGCCCTCGGACTACTGTACATTTACACTCCTCCCTGTGTTATCCAAAGCCATGCAAAGTATGATTGCAGAGGCGCACATGAGATATCTTGAAATCAACAACATCCTAGTAGAGCAGCAGCACGGATTTCGTTGAAATCGGTCTTACACTACAACCTTGTTTCTAGCGCGAACAAGCCGGACAGAATCAGCCGATGACAGCTTAGGAGTCGACGTTGTCTACCGGAACTTCCTCAAAGCGTTCGATGGTTTGACCACCGAATTCTCCTTTACAAGCTTCGAAGCTATGGAATCCGTGACCCGGTGCCCAGTTGGATGGGCAACCCTCACTCACCGTCAGCTGAAGATGAGGGTCTGCAGCTCCATTTCCGACCTAATTGACGTCCAGTGTGGCGTGCCACAAGCATCGGTATTGGGGCCACGTTTTTTCTAAAATTCATTAACGACCTTGCCGGTGTACTGCAGTCGAATTTCGTACAATTTGCAAATGATGACAAACTTTGGCATGATACCAGGACATTGGATGATCACATGGCGTCGCAGCGCGATCTTGACAGGGCCTGTACGCGGTGATCCGATAAACTGCTCCAGTTCAAATTGGCGATGTGCAAAGGCATGAGTACACGACATCAGCTTACCCATGAATGTCGACTTGGGGACCGGTAGTTGCGACGTGCATTCCAGGAAACTGACTTCGGGGTGATGGTGCAGGACGATCCTGGCTGCTTGAGACAAGCTGAAAACAAACCGTAAATAGTCAGGCAACATCTTGGACTCTTACGGAGGGCTGTTGGAAATGTCGAGCTCCTATATATTTTTGTAACTGCTGAACGCCTACGTGAGGCCCCACGTGGAATACACGATCAAGACGTTGAGTGCCTGGCGCAAACGCGATATCAACGCACTTGAAACTCCACAACGTAGAGCAACCAAACTCGCTAGAGGATTGTTTCACCTATCTTACCAAAGCACGCTGCAGTCCTTGAGATTGTACAGTGATGAATGTCAATATCAACGAGGAGTCCTCATCATACTTTACTTAATACTGACAAACCCAATTCACCAAGGTCGCAATCTGCTGCAGCTGAGCAAAAATACTAATTTGAAAGGTTGTCAGTTCAAACTAACTACTCACTAATGTCCACTTGCTTGTTGACGAAACCTTTTCCACCTCCGTGTGTGTCATGCCAAAAAATGCATTTCCTACTCAAATCATCTTTGCACCTTTATAAACGTTATTCAAAAAACGCTTTGATGCCATGTTTTCCAACTTCCATCATATAATGTAGTCCGTTTTACTCGGAGGATAAAATAAGGATAATAACCATGTGCTTAACGGCGCTCTCCGTAACGTGGCGGTGAGGATACAAGCATAACTGTCTTTGTGAGTAGTATGGATGTAGCTAAATTGGATTAACCTATGGCATCGATCAAAGGAAGCAAAAGACGAGTGAGCGTTCTATTTTCCTTTTTATTTCTCACGGAATTACTGAACTACGACTGTTCATTATACTATTTTCCGTGTGCACATTTCATTTCAAACTATCGATAAGCAGCATTGCATTTTTCTCGGAAGACGCTTAAAATGATCATTTAGTTATTCGCTGATCTTTACAAGTTTAATCTTCACTCCAACCATCTTACGGGACTAGTCAAGCAAATTAATTTTAACAGAGATAAATCACCGTCCATTGTTTATTTTTTAATGCTCACTAGGTTTACACTATTTGCCAGAATACTAACTCTACCAAAAATAAGTTTCTCGAAAACATTTTTATGGAAAAGTTGCTTAATTTATATTTCTCCTTCATAAAAGTATTTTTCACTTAATACTTATTAGCTGCAGTAAGTGTGATACTGTACCTTTGTATGCAAAGATTAAAGGTCCACCTTCAAATTTAAGGGTTGAATGACTTCTACAAACCAGTAAAACAGTGAATCCTGTAGTACCTGTTAATACATGCTAAACTTACGACCCAGCTGTCTTTGGTTGAAAGAAAAGACGCAGGCAGCACGGCAGTAGCCAGCGGACAGGACTTAAAAACTGATATATTTTCATCGCCTGTCCACGACTTTGCTTCTAACAACAACAAATATGGTGGCATCATTTGTTGGTTTCTAATCCATCCGCTAGGCCTGATTAATATTTGGAGTCATAGCACGAAATTTGCCATCAGTGTTTCCTGTGGAGTTGAGAGTGTGAATGGGGCATGTCGTAGTAGCGCCGCATTTAATGCAGATGGTTAACAAGTTTTATCGCACGCTTATTGCAGACTAGCTTCATCCATTGTACACCCTGTTTACTCGCTGTGGCTGTGATATTTAGCTTTCATGAATAAAAAAGCACTACTCCCTTCAGTGACATAATTGTGTTGTCTCTACTAGAAGTTGCATGACCAGTATCCATTAGTGTTTAATTGCGATACGTAACTTTTCAAACTATGCTTAATGAACCTAATATGAACTGTTACCTTAAAACTGTCACTTAGCTGCTTTAACATCTTACCTGTTAGCTAGCTGAACCCAGCCATCTGCAAGGTTGCTTTTAGAGAACAGTAAGTAAGATAAACGCAAAACGTCCCTAATGAATAAACAGCCAACAACTATATCTAATAGGCACTGTGAACTCGTAAGATCAAACCACACCACAATACTTTTAACTAAATGATAAAGTTACTTCAAGTGAATCTCACCGATATTTCATTTTAAACATATTTACATTGAAACGGCTGTGCTTTGTAAATCAGTTCCCACGAAAAACTGGATTTTTCGCATTTACTTTTGTTACAACTTGAATAGTTTATCCCAGACTAATGTCTTCCAGTAACAATTTTGCAATGACCATATTAACTGCCGCGATAACTGTCCAACCTGCTATATCCGCCATGGCCCACACCGGACTAATGTCGCAAAACTTATGGAGAGTGCTACCGCCAATTTTAGTGCCCCACAACTCTAGTGAACAACTTAAAAACACACCCAACAAGCAAATGCCAGCTCAACTGCGAGGTCAAATTGAGTGCGTTGAAAGCCTTTACCCGGCGGCTGTTAGTACCTTCCAGTGTTCAAAACCCAGTCGCCGTTTTAAGAAACGTCGTTATCTGAAAAGAGCGTAGAAGTACAGGGATTTGTGATTTGCCCCGCTGGATAAAATGGTTGAGTTGAACCAATGGGCGGATACCATGCTTTCTCCTCAAACGCTATTGGACCATTTGCACTGCGGAAAGCGGACATCTGTGTTTTCTACGGGCTGTCACGGACGTTTGCTCCTTTAACTGCTACTATAAGCAACTTCATCATGATTTCCGGTGGCACAATGCACTTTCTCTTTGCACCTCAAGATTTTGCTACAAGCTCCGCTGCATGCGTTTTATTACTAATTGGTGTGACCAGCGAATCGAAAGAGGAAACTGGACTCTAGAATTTTAATTATCAGATAACACGCCTCGTAGTCATACAATTAGCAACATTCTGAATAAAAGCAAGGTCAGAAAATCCATTATATAGACCATGTTGTATCCAAATGCACAGTTTAATTTAACTATTGAAGGATATTTGATTACACGTGATAAAATAGACAGAAAAGACTTGTGTGGCCATTGCAATTGTTGTGATTTAGACGAACGCCGTCTCAGCTTGGAGGCGTAGATTTTTCATTCAAGTGCAACTCCAACAATGTTGAAAATTTTTCTTGTCATTACAGATGAAAATGATAATTCTCCCACTTTTCCTTGGCCACCGGATTATAATTGGGAGCTGTCAATTCCAGAATCGGCCACAGTTGGCAGTAGATTTCCCCTACCAGTCGCAGTTGACCGTGATTCGCCAAAGTTTGGTGTGCACGTATACAGGATTTTATCAGTGCCATTAGAAGCAGATATGGTTGTGACGTTTCCTGTTTTTAGCCTAATCGATTCAAATTGTTCAGCTAGTTCACGCCTACTACACCTTAACTCACCTTTGGATAGAGAAGCAAGAGCAACATATTAATACTTGCTTGTTGCTGAAAACGATGACCCTTTCACTTCAAACGCAATTCTTCATATTTGTGTAAAGCTGCAAGACGTAAATGAATGTCCTTCTGTATTTCTAAATTTAACAGCGTCAGCTGCATTGAAAATACGGGAAGATAAAGCAGTAGGATCAGTTATTCACTACTTCCGTGCAAAAGACGAGGATGAAAAAATTAACAACCAATTTACATTTGCAATTGATTGGACCTCTACATTTATGACTCTAAATCAGTCAAATCTGCAACAAGTGATTGCAAAATATAGCGTCTATCCCAAAACTGGTGAGTTTCTTATCATGCAACCCTTAGACTATGAAAAGGATCTGGAACGCCAAGTTGTTCTCATCGTCAAAATGACAGACCAAGGTATACAAAAATTAACAGCGAGTTGCAGTTTAACTCTGTCCCTTATAGACGTCGATGACTACATTCCGGAAATAGAACTTTTAGACATGGACTCTGGTGCGGCTCAAGCAAGCTTCAATGTACGAGGAGCTGCTGAAGAGAACGAATCGACATTAAGGCTTCTCACGATGGTATCTGTCTAGGATGTTGACTCCGTGTCCAGAAGTAAGGTTAGTTGTAAATTTCACACCAGTATGCCATGGACTATAGCCTCATTCTATATTCCCACACAATGTATAGGATTTATAATGCAAGAGCTTATGATTTCGAGCGCGTTGCCAATCCGACAGGGCTCTTGTTTGCAAGACTGGAATGTTATGATGCTGTGGAACCACCAAGAATGACAAACCACTGGATCCACATTACCTTAGGAAACAAGAATGATAATTTCTCCCAATTCAGTCAAGTAGATTTTAAGTTCCTGGTTTCAGAGGACATCACTGTGGGTGCTAAGGAAGGGCTGGTTCCTGCACATGATGTCGATACCGAATCACTTGGAATATTATTCTATGAAATCAGTGCACAAACGCCGGAGTTACTTAGTTATTTGTATACTGAATCCCAAACCAGGGTGGTCAAGATTTTGAAAAAACTAGATCGAGATGGGTTAAGCGTTATGCACTACCTATTGACTGCAAGTGATGAAGGTGAGAAACAAATGGTTTTGAAGAATGACACCAATAGCTCATCAGCTGTACGTATTACTTCCAATGTTAAATCAAATACTACAAACTTGACTATTGTTGTTCTGGATGTGAACGAAAATCCACCTTTATACACAGAACAATTGCAGCTAACACTGACAGAGTATATGCCAACAGGTACCTTGATTCTTCAGCGTTTAGAATTCTCTGATGCAGATTTTGGAGACAATGGCTCAATTTATTTATCATTGGAGTCAGTAACACCACACATTAATAAACAGATAAAAGACGGAGGCCCTCTTGTTGGTATACTAAACGCATCAAGACTGGTAATACTGAGTGAGATTGACAGAGAAATACATCCGACAATAGTAGTTGTGCTTCTGGCTGTTGAACAAAGTACTCCAACACAGCTAAGTGCTACGGTTACTTTGACCAATTTGATAGCTGATGTCAACGACAATCCTCCCTACTTAGTTCATCCTATGAACTTGTCACTTCTACCAGAGACTTCAGATCCTGGTTTAGGCTTCGGGAGTGCTTACGCTTCGATCTCAACTGATTCACTGAAAAATACTTTAGTTACAGTGATTTTTGGAAAGGAGAAGAACTTGGAAATGAACGCAGTAGTGAAATACAAATTAATTGAGGAATCGCAGCATGTCAAAACCGAAAGTGTTAGACATGAATCATCTGAGTGAACGAATGCTGGATGAACTCAAAGCTCTTTGGACCAGTACTACAAGGATTCCATTATTTTTCTTTAGACTTTAACAACAGAAGCCTAACAACAAAGTGGGGCAAGGCGGAAAACAAGCAATATGGTCAGTCATTCGGAGATAAAGAGTCAAAAGTGTCATTCTTTCAAAAACACTAATGCCTGGTATGTATTCCTTGTTAATAGATTTATCAGACAGCAGTATACCACCCATGATTAAAATAACCCACTTTTTTCTGAACACCAATAAGGGCCAAAGCAATTATTTTGAAGTGTATCGTTTGCTTGCAACAGAAAAAACGAGTGACTTGACATTATGTGGGCTTGTTGTTATCTACGGCTCTGCACTAATTTTTTGGAATAATTGCACCTATTACTTGGGGTCGTTTTCGACCAGAAATATGTCGTACCTCATCAAGGCGCAACAAGCACAAGTTTACTTGCACTGATTCAGCAGTTTTCTCAAATCCTTTTTTCCCTGCATATTATTCTAGCTTTTACAGCCTAAACGACCAACAAGAGCAGGAATTTTCCAAGTAAAAGTTGCTCGTACATGGATTCATTCAGTGTGTATCTAAGCCAACTATCACCGAACCTTTACAGCAGATGACAAATTGCACAGATAAAAGGCCACAGCTCAAAGCTGTTGTGCAATCGGATGCAACCTGGATTGTGGGTCAGATTACGAAGGCAGTTGCATCCTACGTCCGATTGCTCATATCAAATAGCCTCCTTAATTATGCGAACTCAGAGTTAGCAAGTTCGTGGAGAGTGGTTTCATCTAATGTCATTAAAGGTCTATCAGCAACAATAAACCCTGTTGGCCAGAAGATTGACTCACACTGGAATACTGGTGAGAGTGATTATGGTTTGGAAATTGGTGATGGCACCGCAGGTGCAGCTACCAGCAGCCAAAATGGGCGAATAGGCACGGAAGCACATTATTCGGTTGTGCAGGCCAACACAACAGATTCATATCCATATATCCCACCACGCTCTTGTATCTCATCAGCACAACACAATATTGTGCATGAGATTCCAACGCAGGTTTCTTCTAACCTCGCAAACCCTTGCACTGTGTGAAGCATTGTGCTTTTGCAAAACCAACACATCATGGCGGAAGATTAGACAAGTTTTCTTAATGCTACGAATGTCCTTCGGAAGTAAACGTGAGTCTCACGCCGGTTATAAATTTAGACATGTAGTTATGCAGGAACTATACGCTGTCTCACATAACATCATAATCTAAGTTGCTCGAAATATTGCATCTCATTCGTACCATTCCAGTAGATGCGTAAAAGTTGCGCAACCGCAGGTTAATTTTCAGTCCACATATATTACTCTATTCTACCTCATGACTCAAATTCTTACATTATGCCAAACATTTTATAATCGCAAATGTTTTCTTCGGTTATGTGTATCTGGAGAATCTTTGCTTGTAACGCCAACCGATAATACTTGAAGAACGGGTTATTTGCGCTTTTTTAATTTAACGGCTTATCAAAGAATTAACAAAGAGATTCCTCCTGAAATTATTTCCTTATTTGTTCGAATAACCTTTCTGAGTGCTTTAAACCAATTTGTGGTTACTGCTATACCTCTGAACGCATAAGCAAGTCATTATTGAAGTAGGCTCACACTAATGCATATAATATAGTCTTATCTATTGCAGCAGAATGACCTCTCAGTAATCTGAGTATTCAGGAAATTGTTCAGTCTACTTATTTTAGTCATACATTTGCACCGTTCGATACTTTAGCCAAGATTTACAAGTCCATTTTACCGTTTTCCATTGAATGAATAGAAATGACACTTGTGGACATTAATAGCCAATAAGCATACTTTTCAGTAATTCTAATAATCAAAATGACAAAGATTCTAGACATTTAGTCTATCTAACCATGCAGAATTTGCAGTTTCTGCAACTTCGTCGTTTAAAATCTACAATAACAAGGCGTCATTTCCGCGGAAATTTTATGAACTGCATTACTGTCTTTTGTGGAAGGTTCCCAAAATGAGATTTTCTCCCTACTATGAGCGGTAGCCTGTCCATAAAGAACGCTTCTGAAGTGAAGAGTTTCGGAGTTGCTGCCTGAAATATCCGCAATCCTGGACTAACTAGTTTCATCCTAATTTGGCCTCGTCCTTTAGAGATAACCTGAGCTAAGGGTAGAAGCTGATACATAGTGATTAATCGTTTACTATTTGGGAACTAAACAAGAACTGCGCGAACAGTGTATTCATATGCCATTACTCACATCAAAATCCACTTCCCGTAAAGCTAAATACGACAGCACCGATGGTAAAAGTGTTTCCACTGAAACCACCAACTCCTCTTTAACATACCCAATTATTAAATACAAACACCTTGCTTATAAAACATGTTCATGTCTACACGAGTCGACAAAACCACCAACACTTTTTTCATAACACGTGCAAGAATTTGCGTAGTTTTTGCGCATACTATCCAGTAATCAGCCACATATTTAATTATGAGCGTAACCATGGACAGAAAACCTTCTAGGTTCAGCGGTTGTGCAAGGGCCAGATTTTCGATTAAACTATATTTTGCATCAGGCTTGGCCTCAGAAAAGAGGAAAAGAAGGGTTATCAAAGTAATAGTACTTGAAGTGGGTGTACCAAAATAAATGAAAGTAATTGTTAGGAAACTGCAATGATAAGGAGATAGCGTTTACTGGCCTACCAACAGGGATGTTACCGTCAAAATAATCTGCTTTGTTAACACGGATCCTGTGGCAAATTGTAAAATGTACGAAACATAACAAGCCCTTAGGTTACTTAGGTACACACGTAGCTACAGTTGGAAGAAATGTAGTACATTGTGTTTCAGCGGAAATATAATTATTTAGATTATCAATATTCTTTCCGGTTCAAATATATGTAAGATTTTCCATTTTAAACCCATGCCAGTGAGAAGGCGCAAAGATATATTTACCAAATGTTGTGTCTAAGTCAGGAGCGAAGCAATGTAATCAGAGAGCCGCCTAAAAGATTGTAGTTATTGTGCTGGCTACCACCAGTAACAACGGTTTCTGTCGTCCTTCATATACCTGAAGGCAACAGCGACTGAAAAACATCTTCATTTTGATCTGGTAAGGTTAAAGTTAAGGGCTGGATCAAGCGATCAGCAGAATATTGATAAATGAACGCAAGCTGGAGTTTAACGTCAGTGACTCATATATTCTCACAGCAAGCTGCTCATTACACACATACATTTAGTTAGATGTCGTTAGTTAGATGTCTAAGCCCTTCAGATTAGTATATTGGAAATATTTAGACAATCAACAATATCTTCGATGCTACAAAAATGCGAAAAGCGGTTTTCTCGACTTTTCCAGACTTAAACGGCTATTTGCGTCACTCAGCATTAATGTTTATCCTCATGAACTTACCCTAACATCCAAAAGTGCATGTATGATGTTTTGACTGATAATTGATTGCTTTATAATAATATCTCGCCGGTATTCGAAATCCGCTTACTAATCAGATATCAGTTCAGGCCCATATTTTAGGTAATTCCATAAATCTTTGTCATCGTGCTCTAACTACACATCTCTGCAGTCACAAACTAAGCCACTGAGTATCGATTGCTAGTAAGTTTGGACCAGTTATTCGTCTTCAAAGCAGCAACTAAGCGTATTTTATTAAACACAGAGAAATAAGTACATTCTTATCTCACATCTCTTATTGCTTAAAGATTTAGTTAAACATGATTAAACAAAACAGCGCGCTTGGGGTACCGCAAGTGATATGGACAAAGCTTGGAGTAACCACGGTCAAACAGCATAGTCTTCGTAAACATATAAAACCTTTTTAGTATAGGATGGACAGATGAGCTGGGAAGTACTGCTCAAAAATGTTGAAAAACAGTGTTTTCCATTATTTTACCTACGGAAATTTAGTAGCATTCATCTTTCTTGCCATTAGCATTTTACACCTTCTCATAATTGCATTCTCCTTGCTAATCTATCAGGAAACTAATTTGAAAGGTAAGCGGTAACAGTAATTCAGTTCAGTTTAGTTCAAATGGAACTGGAACGATAGGAGAATGCAGTGAGTGTTCCATATTGAGTAGATTGCTGAGCCAGGAATTGATTAAGTGATGGATCTTAAACGGGACACCCTTATCGCACCCTGGCCAACCAGTTAATGCCCACGTTTCCTGCCCTAGCTGTCCCTGCTGTGACAGCCACGTGAAGTAAGCAAAGGATAGAAAGAGAAACCGAAGGTACAGAATAAGGAAGTGCACTTAAATAATAAAATAATACCAAGGCGTGAAGAAAAGTAGTGAAAAGAAGATCGAAGCACGAAGATGCGAGTTACTCAGGAAAATGGAAAGGTTTCGTGTTGTCACCCAAGAGCTTCAAGTGGCCGTTTATACCCCTTAACCGTAGATTCCCTGATAACACTTTCCGGAAGCATGTTCCAACGCTCGATGACTCGGCCCTAATCCGATCGGAACGAGGTATGTCCAGCTTCAAGGAATGACCGCGTAGAACAGAAAATCTAGCTGGACAAAACAGCCAAGATAAATCTGGCTAACCTTCCCAGTTAACATACGGTAAGTTAGGACTAGGTCTCCTGTAAGCCTTCGGTAGTACATTGAATGCATTCCCAAACTAAGTAGACGTTCGGGGTACGTCTGTCACCGTAATCCCTCGAATAACTTAGTATCCACTGGTAAAGCCCTCTCTAGCTCTATTTTGTCCTGGACGAGGCAGGGCGGACAAGCCTGGACGCAGTATTCCAGATGAGGCCGAACGAAAGTCGAGAACAGTCTCGTAAAGATGCTGCTCGTCAAGACTCCGAAAAACGTCGTATTAACCACAACTTGCGGAAACCTCTGCTTGCGGCCTTCTTCCAGTTGTCGTCGGAGTGTAAAGCCAAACAGTGTACGACGCCTAGGTCAATCTGACCAGATACACGGGGGAGTTCGACCCACCAAGCACGTACTTCTTAGGA